AGATTAGTGTTTTATTGAATAACTGTGACATGATGTATTAAAAAATCAAAAGTAATAAATAATAGCATGGTAACATTTTAAAACTTCTTATCATTTCTGCAGCATTATCCTAAGTACTTAATATGCATTATTTCAGGGGTCCCCAGTCCCCGGGCCATGTACCAGTAATGGTCTGTGGCCTGTTAGGAACTGAGCCACACAGCATTTACCACATAACAACCTACTGGTAAAGTTTAACCCAGTAGGTGGTTGCGTGGTAAATGCACAGATCTTGGATACTTGGAAAGGAAAATAGAAAAGTGGACACTTTCAAGTCAAAAAGCAAATTATTTTCTTTTAAGCTTATAATTTGCTCATTTCAGTAAACTATTTTGGTGAATTGGAGTGATGATTTTAACTGTCGCTATACTTGATATTTTACTTATAAGTTAACTGTGTTCTAGGTACCTGCAGTAATTTAAATGTTTTAATTTTCCATGAAAGATAAAAATGCCTCTCCTAATAAGTCTTTGGCATTCTTGTGAACATTAATTAAAATATATTGCTTTCTTAGTGCTTTAGAATGGTTTTTATACATTAAAAGACCAAAGAAAGATAGAAGTTCAGTAATTAAATGAAATATTTTTGATGTGTCAAAATGAAGAAAAAGACTGCAACTTAAAATTTCTATGTTTAGGTTTTACATCTCCATTTATTATGAGTCAGAAATAATCATTTTGTAGAATACAGTAATGTGGAGAGTCATTTCATGGAATAGTACATTCTTTGAGGTCTGTTGAAAGGTTACATGACAAAGTAAGACTAAATTTTAGAACTAGAAATGATTTCTACTCTGCCCCAATAACTGTGGATTTTTGACTTAGGGGTCCTAGAAGGTTTGACCATTTTTGGTGTTCATAAACATATAAATACCTAAAAATATTTTTTTTTGTTTTGAAAAATCTGTACTTCCCTTTTATTATTACATTTACTTTTTTGAAATTATAAACTTCTCTATTATTTATTTGCCTAACTTGCATTTATTACACTAATTCTTGTGATAAATGAAATGAGTGTAATTTAATTTGAACTATATATAAAGGCTCAGCCATTTACATGGAGCACTCAACCATCCAATATTAGACAAGTCCATTAATTGTCACTTTTTCAAAGAATAATTAATGGGGCTATTTTCTTATTGACCTACTTATTCATTGTTTTTTGTTTTTTGGTTTTTTTTTTAACTCCATATACCTTCGAATGCAATGTCAATTGCCCAGCCTCTAGATCATAAAAATTAAGTGGTGATATTCAAATTATCTTTAATAAACAAATGTTCCCTATTTTCTTATTCATTTAACAGCATTTTTTTTTTTTTTTGCTTAATTCTCTCTTTTTCCTTTAAAAAATAACAGCTCTTTTTTTTTTTCCTCAAAGAGAAGTAGATAACTGCTTTCATGTAATCTGGTCAGAAGCTTATTGCCCTAATAGTTGAGAAATATCTTTAGAAGAAGAAAACAAAGCTTCCTTAAATACATGAGGGATGGGAGACATTTCTTTCTTCCCCAGAATAGAATCCTACTATTAAGCATATTTTTTGGAACATATCAGTAGTTCAATGAGTATTTATTGAATACATGAATGTTATCCCAGAAAAATAAATTAGTAATGTTCCTCTTAGTCTGTTTCTTCACTAGCAGTGATTAGGCAACAGTTGAAATTGAAAATATAATAGCATTTTCTGCTTCCATCTGTGATGGAATTGTTTGTCATAGACTCAAAGCTCATGCCAAGAATAAGTAGAGAAAATTAAATTTAAAAGAAAAGAAAAGAAAATCTGTTTGCTTGCATTGGAGAGACAATGAGGAAACCAAGACCCCTCCTTTTTGAAAAATATTGGACATTAATTTTTGTCTCTTGAGCACCACAAGATTGTTTTAAATTCAGCTCTGCTTATAGTGGTCATCTATTTTATACCTCAGCCTCTAGCTCTGAGCAGATTAATAATTCAGCAAATATTTTTAGAGAAAAATGGAACATTGGGGCTATTTCTTACAAATCTTTCTCTCTCAGATCATGGCCCCACACTTTTTGGCTGACTCGCGTGCCCCTATTGTATTTTTGTCTTTTTCATTAATGCATGATGTCGTCTTTAGTATTTGTCTCTTACTACATTGGTGAGGGAATCAATTTGTTGTATAGCTCTTAATTCTTGAAATGAATTCTTAGATCAGTGATTATAGACCTTTCATTTATAATCAACTCAGATATCACTTTCGGCATAGCAGTTTTTGTTTATTACACTTTCATTTTCACTGGCAAATTTCATACTTAGATTATCTACTTTTGTAGAATGTCACATAGTTTTATCACTGGGAGACAAGGGAACAATGTAACTACACTGTGCTTAAACTGAATAATAGATGCATAATGACCAATCATGGACAGACTGAAAGAAGCAGTATGTGTGTCACTGATTGTGATGCATATCTCTTATTTGAGCAGTGATTTGTAAACTGAAGAGCTAGTAGAGAAGTTTGTACTTTATATAATTACAATTGATGTACCATGCTAACTGAAATTTAAACCATATTTTTGGTGATGTTTGGTGTTATTTAACTAAACCATGTAACTGAAATTTATGCATATCAGAACCACGTAAAATGAGAATTGAAAAAATATATATTCAATTTATTTGTGATCAGAAAAATGTAAATTAAAGTTACAACGTGATATCATTATAAACCTATAGCAATAGCTGTGGTAGGCAGAATTTTAGATGACACATGACTTTAGCCCTTGTGTAATTACTTCCACTGGGAAAATGCTAGAACTCACTACTCTAATTATGTCATGTTATGTGGCAAAAGAGATTTTGCAGATGTAATTAAGATTATTAATCAGTTGACTTTCAGGCAATCAAATTTGAGATAATCTAACCTAATCACATGAGTCTTTTAAAAGCAGATTATTATCTGCAGCTGTTAGCAAAGAAGAAATTAGAGAGATTTGAAACATAGGAGGTCTTCAATGTGAGGGTTGTTCTCCGTTGCTGAGATAGATAACACCATTGGTCATTGAATTCTAGGATCTCAGAGTGGTCCCTGGCCAATAGCCAGCAAGACAAAGGAGACGTGTGTCTGCAAGAAATTAAATTGTTAACTTAAATGAGCTCAGAAGTGAATTCTTCACCCACAGAGCCTGGGCTGCAAACTTGACATTGGCCTTGTGGGACTCAAATCAGAGAACCTAACTGAGCCTACCTAGACTTATAACATACAGAACTATGAGATAATAAATGGATATTGTTTTAAGCTATTAAATTTGTGTTGATTTTTTATACAGCGATAAAAAATGAATACAATATTAAAATTTTAAAAATAAAAATATACTGACAAAACTAAGTGTTGATACAAATGCAGAACAACTGAAACTCTTATTCTGTTTGGGGGAATTCAATTTGGTAGTCAATTGAGAAAACCGTTTGGCACATACAGTTAATCTTTACATACAGTTAATACATCCCAGACATACAGTTAATACATCCCAGACCTTCCTATAGAGCAAATGCTTCTATTTTGTTTTCATATTAACGCAGACCATTTGTCAGCCTACAGAGCACTTCAGTGATAGGTGCTATATAAATATTTAAATTATGATAGCTTGTTTGCACTGTAACTTTACAGAGTTTGCTAACTCTACACTGTGGTTAATATGTGATTATGAAATATTTTCTATACTGCTAAGGTCATAGAAGTAGTTGAGCGGCAAAATATGTACCGAAGCTGAATACAAAACATGTGAATGTCCCCTAGGAGCAATTCGTAAGTATTTTTCCAGTATGAATTTATTTGTACACCAAAAAAGAAAAGGTATGAGAAAGTTAATACACATTCGAAATAGCCCCAGACCAGAAACAATCCAAATGTTTATCACCAATAAAATGTGTGTGTATATACATATGTGTGTGTGTGTGTGTGTGTGTGTGTGTGTGTGTATAGTCATATATTTATTCATTGGAAAGCTACACAGTTATAAACCACTGCTACACATGAATGAGTCTTATAAACATATATTGAATGAAATAAGCCACTCATAAAAGAGTACACCCACAAAGGAATATGATCTCATTTATATAAATGTTACAAATAGACAAAATAATCTATGGTTATATAAGTAATAGTAATGGCTGGGTTTGATGTCCCCTAGGAGCAATTCGTAAGTATTTTTCCAGTATGAATTTATTTGTACACCAAAAAAGAAAAGGTATGAGAAAGTTAATACACATTCGAAATAGCCCCAGACCAGAAACAATCCAAATGTTTATCACCAATAAAATGTGTGTGTATATACATATGTGTGTGTGTGTGTGTGTGTGTGTGTGTGTGTGTATAGTCATATATTTATTCATTGGAAAGCTACACAGTTATAAACCACTGCTACACATGAATGAGTCTTATAAACATATATTGAATGAAATAAGCCACTCATAAAAGAGTACACCCACAAAGGAATATGATCTCATTTATATAAATGTTACAAATAGACAAAATAATCTATGGTTATATAAGTAATAGTAATGGCTGGGTTTGAAGACTATAATAGTGTTTAGGAAGGGGTACCACAGGGCACTTTAGGGTTCTAGTAATGTCCTATATATTTATCTTGATGCTGCTTAAACAGATGTGTTCATGTAGCAAAGATTAACTGTATGTGCTTTATGCATTTCTCATTCTTCAATAAAAAGCTTTTTTTTTTTTTTTAAATGAAGGGCTATAAAAAGTTGGCAACACCTTTTTCACTGTGTGGTGTAAAGAAAGAAAAACTGCCTAAGGTCATAGAAGTAGTTGAGCGGCAAAATATAGAGTAGAAAATGATAATTAAGGATAATTTAATGCTAATGTTTTAGTTGAATTATCACTTTCATTTGACAAAATAAAAAAGAGAAAATGGTAAAGTGAGAATAGTCAATAAATAATTTTGACATTTACAATTAATTTTTAATTCTTTTAATGAAACAGTTTGCCGGGAGGATTCATACCACTCTGTAGTCTCCTGTGCTGCTGTGGTTCTCACTCCTTTGGAACCAACAATAGAAATGAAGAAAAGGGAAGAACTAAAATTTCCTGAACCTTCCAAACAGTAAGTTGTTCATTTGATTTTTTAGAGCTTTATAAGAATAATTAGATTACTAATCAGAATTATATTGCTCAGAAACTGTGATTTACATGAATCTGTTAATACTATATTAAGAGGACAGAAATACATTTTGTACAACATCAAAAATAATCTGTTGTCTCATGAATAATTTCTCTGTCTTCTAACTTCATGTGTTTGAACTATATGCCATCCAAGTTTCATTTTGTTATGTTATCATAGGAACATAGGTAAGTAGTCTGAGATACTTTATTTCCTTAACCCTTTTATTGTGGATGCACTGTTCTTGGATTACTTATTTTATAGTTGTAGGCTTTTAATGGTTTAAAATGTGATCAGTTTTTAATGTGAATTTCCCAGCCTAAAATTGGTTTTTATTTTTATAAAGAATCCAAGTTATTATTTTAACTATTTTTAACAAATTATCCTAAATTAAAACTTGACACTAATGTTTTCTCATATTTTTGCTAGTTAAACAGATCCAGCTTAATTTAAATTTAAATCTGATCTTATATTGAATAAAGTATAGATTTTTTTCTTATAATGGCTGAAGAGAATTAAGTTCATGATAACAAATGTAAGATATATGGACTTGAAATATCAAATAAAGTAGGATTATTTCTAGGTATACATTAAATAAATAAAAGAGAAAACCTATTGATGATTTTCCAGTCAAAGTAGTGCCATACTTGCTTTAAGATTAGAGCCTAGGTGATGTATGTGATGTTACCAAGAATTGCTGGTTGACTACCTCATGAAGGAGGTAGTACTTACTTTGAAATACCTGCTATTTTTCCCCATTGGATAACACTGTATCATACTTGTTTGTTTCTTAATGTCTTCCTATTGAATAAGCTTCTGAAAACAGTTCTGTGGAACTAAAGTGTCTGATACTTTTTCTGAAATCAATTAGAAAATCCCTTAATGTTACATTCAATAATGTTAAATTCAAATGGAGCAATGTACATATTTGATTGCATGAAGATAGTATTAATATGCTCATTATAGAGAAAAGAATACTAACCAATTCAGAAAGTAATCATTGTAATTCAGTTTTAATATAATCTAAAAGCAAAACCAATTTAACTGCTCTTTATATAGTCTAATTTTAGCTTCCAAAAGCCATTTTTTGTCTAATAGGAGGAAAATTCTATATAATTCATTATGCCAATCGAATTATATTTGAAAACTCAAATGTATTTTTCTGCAATGTATATGAGTTTATATGTAACCTATATATTTGTAATTGGATCTTAAATTCTTTTATCTTTCAGTGAGTGTTCAAAACTGGTGAATAGTGTTATTTGCTTACAAAAAGTGTCTATTTCCAGTCTTTAGCTACTTCATGAATACTCATTCTTCTTTACTGTAAGATACATGTTGAAGCAGACAGCTTTTGTAACTAGATGTCCATATTCTTCCTCTTACTCTATATCCACTCTGATATTCCTCTGTAGTCTCTGAATGTACTTTCTTGTTTAAACATTCAACACTATTATTTGTTCATTCATGTATATTTTGTTATTGTTTTTGTTTTCTGAGTTAGAGAGATATTGGTTAAAATCTTAACTCTGTTACATATTAGATAAACATTGGGGGCAATTTATTTAAACTCGTTGTGCTTTCCTTTCCTCATATGTTAATTGGTATGATATCAACAAACTTGTAGGGTCATTGTATTATGTGAAGTTATATTGCTAAAGGACCTGGAATTTAAAAATCCATAAAACTATTAGTTATGTTGCCCCTTCCACAGTTTTAACTATCAACATTACTGATGATTCACAGATATACTTCTCCTGAAGGCTCTTCTGAATCGAAGTCTAATATTTAAAGTTATCGACCTGACTTGTCTAAGTAGGTATCCTACCAGAATATTATACTAAGTATGTCTAAAACTGAATTAATGACTCCTCTAGCCCCCTTAAACTTTTGATTCTTCCTGACTTCTATTTTATATAAAGCTACCCTTTTTCTTTTCTTAAAATTTTGATGTTTTCTCCCTCACATCTCATGTTCAATTAGTTCTTGATTACTTGATTAATGTCTTTATTATAGTCTTCTTACAATTTGAGCTGACCAGGAAGGCGTATACATCTCATATTCGAAATTTTTTTCATACATATATACTTATATATTTAATTGTGTTCTTAATGAAGCCATTCAAATAGTGGTGATCTATCAAATGGAGATTACATATGCCCTTCAAACCTCACATTGCTCTTTTGGAAATGAAATGATAGCTGTGAATATATGGCAAGAACATGATATAAATACAGAGACATAGTGATTAATTCAAAACTCTTATTTGCTAATGAGTGAAGCCCTGATGCAAATTGGTTTCAGAAACATCAGGAGTGGTGGTTGTTATCGGTAACATAATTAAAAACAATAGAAATCCAAATTTCCTCAAGTATGGTTGAGTCTGATACTCAAATGATGTCATAAAGGTTCATTCTCTCCATCTACATGTCTTTGCTCTGCTTTCTTGTCTGTAGTTTCTATTTTTAGGGAGGTTCCTCTAATGGTGACATCACTGCCTTCAGCAGCTACTGGGGCAGATTTTGATCTTTTCAATAAATCCAGTATAAAGAGATGGTTTCTCTT